TACTTTCGAAATTTATATTTATTAAATAAAAGTTTTTAAAAAAAAAACAAGAATACAGAAAGAAGCAGAAGTATCAGCATGTTCCATATATTTTGAAGATGTATTGATTCCATAATGTATAGTAAATACAAATAGAGTATGCACCCTAATATTCAGAGTAAGGATTTTAGTAGTCACCCCTCCAAAATATGAACAGCACTGGGCTTGGAAGAAAGTAAACAAAAATATTAAATTTTGTATAGTCATGCATGTAACATGTGGTCATTATTTTCTGTATTAAAGCCAAATACTTCACTCTGTTTTTTCAAGAAGGATTTCACTGCCTTGTCTTTAACAAAATTACTAAAAGGCTTGGTTCTCTACACAATAATAGGATGTAAACAAACCAATCTAAACAGGAGGGATGACAACAAACACTGATGATAAAGACAAAAATTAAAAAGTAGATACAGACAGCCCTTAAGGCATTCAGATCTGGCTAAAAAGCCCATGAGAGTTTCTCAGGTATGTAAAGCCAAGACACTCCGGCAATAAAAAAAAAAAAAAAAAACCCTAAATGAAAGATCTCTGTGAATGAGATACCGACAGAAAGAACAGGCCATCAGAGAAGGAGGTACCTTTCTCTGAAGGGAGGAGAGAACTTCCACTTTGACTATGGCCTTGTCTAAATAAGATTGGAGTTGGCGAATTCAAGAGGCTTCTATAGCCTTGGCAACTCATGACAAGAGCCTTGGGTGATTACTGACATCATAAATAAGGGTGTCAAGTGTTAAATCAACAGTGAGAGTCACTGTGCACTTATTCCCCATGTAGGATCTCTGTCCTTTGTGTGTTGTATTATGTGAATTAACGGTATAACTAGTACTCAAATAGTACTTTATACTTTGTGTTTCTGTGTAGGTGCAAACTGTTGAAATCTTTACTTGGTATATATTAAACTGATCTTCTGTATATAAAGATAATTGAAAATGAATCTTGATGTGAATTGGGTGGTAGAGGGAGTGGGAGATGAGATAGTTGTGGGTTGGAGGACAGTTATGGGGGGGAAAAGCCGCTATAATCCAAAAGTTGTACTTTCGAAATTTATATTTATTAAATAAATGTTAAAAAATAAAAAAGTAGATACAGAACAAATATAATGAGTGTTTTTTATGAGGATCAACAGTCACCAAGAGGAGCTGGCACTATGGTACAGTGCATTAAACTGCTGCCTGTGACATGCTGGTTCATGTCCTGGCTGCTCCACTTCTGATCCAACTCCCTGCTAATGTGCCTGGGAAAAGATTGTCCAAGTATTTGAGCCTCTGCATCCATATGGGAGACCCAGATGAAACTCCTGGCTTGGCCTGGCCCAGCACTGGCTGCTGTGGCCATCTAGGGAGTGAACCAGTAGATGTAAAATATATCTCTCTTTTTCATCCCATTTCCTTCTATCTCTTCTAAAAATAAAGAAATAAATGTCACCAAGAAAAGACTGTTCAATTCAAATTCTTGTTTAGGATTTTCAAAATATCTTATACCTTGTTAGAAAATTTTATTCCCAGAGTTAAAATTTTAAAAAAATTAAATACTGGAGAGGTAAGGTTTATTTATTTAGAATCCTCACCTTATTTAGAATATGTAGCATGATCCAAGGAATTAACAAAACAGAGTTGGCTTAACTTTCTAGACTGGGAGAAAGAACAAAAAGATTCTTATATGCCAAGTTGATAAAGACATATAAGTCCAGTTCTATAACATCAAGTCCAAGAGATTACTGTAAAAATTCTGACAGAATATAAAAAGACTTAGAATATAATCAGCCCTGCAAAAAAGATTTAGGAACAAGTCCCATTTAAACATGCATGTTTCTAGGCCAGCGCTGCGGCTCACTAGGCTAATCCTCCGCCTTGCGGCGCCTGCACACCGGGTTCTAGTCCCGGTCGGGGTGCCGGATTCTTTCCCGGTTGCCCCTCTTCCAGGCCAGCTCTCTGCTGTGGCCAGGGAGTGCAGTGGAGGATGGTCCAAGTGCTTGGGCCCTGCACCCCATGGGAGACCAGGAGAAGTACCTGGCTCCTGCCATCGGATCAGCGCGGTGCACCAGCCGCAGCGGGCCAGCTGTGGCGGCCATTGGAGGGTGAACCAATGGCAAAGGAAGACCTTTCTCTCTGTCTCTCTCTCTCACTGTCCACTCTGCCTGTCAAAAAAAGAAAGAAAAAAGATGCATGTTTCCAACAATACGAGACAATGCCAAATGTAAAACAAACCAAAAAGGCACTATAAAGAAACAAAATGTCCTGTGTAATATCAAAATAAATAAAGACTAAGAGATCGCTTCTAGAAATGATATTTCTCAGATGAGACAGAATTTTAAAAACCCAATACTGCTGAAAGAACAGATTTTGATACCAGGAGGACTAAGAAATAAAGCTAGTAAGATGAGAAGAAGCTAGAAGATTTTATAAGATCATGATAGATCTTATAAAATCATATTTAGGAGTTTGTACTTTAGTCTAAGGACTGTGGGAAGACATTAAAGGGCTCTAAATAAGACATTCATGTCTCAACATGTATTTAGAAGTAACACTGGCTACAGTGTTAGTGGCGGTTAGTTTGCATGGGAACAAGATTATAGGACGAGCAATTAGAGGCTCATGCAGTAATCCAAGTGGGAGATAACACTATTAAATGAGGGAGTTAACAGGAAAATTGTGGGAATAGTAGACTAATCCAAGGGACATGAGCGGTAGACATGATAAAGTTTGGTGATTCATTCAATCTGGAGAGTGAAGGGTACAATTTTGCAAAAACGATTCCAAATTTCTGGTTAGATCAATTGAGTGGATGGTTGTGCCTTTGACTTAAACAGAGAAAAATGGGGAAAACATGTTTTGTTTGTGGTATTGTGTTTGATCTTTAGGATAGAAGTGGGAGATGGATATGATAAGACTTTATGGATACTCTTTTTTTTTTTTATCTTTTATTTAATGAATATAAATTTCCAAAGTACGACTCATGGGTTACAATGGCTTCCCCCCCCATACCGTCCCTCCCACCAACAACCCTCCCCTTTCCCACTCCCTCTCCCTTTCATCACATCAAGATTCATTTTCGATATCTTAATTTACAGAAGATCAGTTTAGTGTACATTAAGTAAAGATTTCAACCGTTTGCACCCCCATAGAAACACAAAGTGAAATATACTGTTTGAGTACTCGTTATAGCATTAAGCCTCAGTGTACAGCACATTAAGGACAGAGATCCTACATGAGGAGTAAGTGCACAGTGACTCCTGTTGTTGACTTTACCAATTGACACTCCTGTTTATGGCATCAGTAATCTCCCTATGCACCAGTTATGAGTTTCCAAGGCTATGGAAGCCCCTTGAGTTCTCCGACTCTTATCTTGTTTAGACACGGTCATAGTCAAAGTGGAGGTTCTCTCCTCCCTTCAGAGAAAGGTACCTCCCTCTTTGAAGACCTGTTCTTTCCACTGGGATCTCACTCACAGAGATCTTTTTGCCAGAGTGTCTTGGCTTTCCATGCCTGAAATACTCTCATGGGCTTTTCAGCCAGATTATGGATACTCTTAGTTTAAGGAATGTATGAAATGTTCAAATGGGCTTGTTCAATAGACAATTGGATATAGACATCCTATCCTCAAAAGAAGTTACTGGCATTTGCATGAGGTAACACTGTCATAGGTATTGATTAAATCATTCAGAGGGTCTATATGTTATGAAGAATGTCCAGGATAAAACAAATAAAACTACTACTACCTGAAGAACAATAAAGTAAGACTAGGAAAGATATTTATATAACCAATTTCTTTATTTCATGCGTCACTTCTAGAACAAAATCTAATCACCAGGAAAATGTGGTGTCTCTGAAGTCAAAGGTAGAATTATTCTTAAACCATATATTTATATATTATGTATTTATATATACATATATTTTATTTCATAGTAAAAAAGTTTTAAAGAGAGAGATCAACCACATTGGATGCTATTAAAGAATAAATGAGGAATAAAAGGACAGAAGTCTTGAGTTTAGCAACTAAGCCAACATTGTACATCTATGTTCCAGAAGTTGCATTAGAGTCACTAGATTGGAAGCCAGACAGCAGTGGGTGCAGTAATTGGTGAGAGGTAAACAGAGACAACAGAGCATATCAATCCTTTAAGAAGTATGACTTTAAAAAAATAGAAGAATGGGTTGGGGTCAGTGTTGTGGCACAGCAGATTAAGCTGCTGCTTGCAATGTCAACATCCCATATCAGAGTGATGGTTTGAATACCTGCTGCTCCACTTTCAATTCAGCTTCTTACTAATGTACCTGCAAAGGCAACAGAAGATAACCCAAGTACTTGGGTGTCTGACACCCATGTAGGAAACCCAAATTATGTTTCTGGCACCTGGCTTTGACCTGACCCAGACCTGACTCTTGCAACCATTTGGGGAGTGAACCAGCAGAAGAAAGATTCGCATTCTCATTCTCTCTCTCTCTCTCTCTCTCTCTCTCTTTCTCTCTCTCTCTCTCTCTCGTCCCACTCTGCCTCTCTCCCTCTCTCGCTCTTTCCCTCTCCCCTCTCCCCCTTTCCTCCTCCTTCCTTCCTTCCTTCCCTCCCTCCCTCTACTCACATTGTTATTTCAAATAAATATATATTTTAAATCAAGAAGTATGATCTACATTAAAGCAGGATTGGGAGGTAAGAGTTTCAAATTTAACATGAGAGACTCTTGATCATGTTTACATACAAATGTGCTAGATTCAGTAAAGGTTGCATAATAAGATCTAAGAGAAAAGAGATAAAGTTTAGAGCAAAAGGATGGAGAGAACTGTTTTTAAGATATCTCATGAAGATTCCAGCATGGAGTAGGGCGTTGCCCAAGAAGACCTTTGTGATTTATTTCAACCTGAAGAGTCTGGGTTGCTATGTTTGAAAAAGGTTACAAGTTTTGTATTGGTCTGAGGTAAACATTTATCATTGTCATTTTTGTTTTAAGAATTAAGGGTTCTTACCCGCCAATATCCTGCTTTACAAAGTCCCCAGGTTCTTGTCGTCTTGATTCTCCTTGACCAGTGGTTCCAGGGAAAATATTAATCAGGAAAAGAAGCCCAAGTCTGATCATGTAGAAATAACTCAGCTCTGTGACCATCATCTTCTTGGACATCAACTCGAACAAACCTGTAAGATCCAGTTCAGGGAAAGTGGGAAAGGGAAAAAGGTAGAAAAAGGCAGGGAAGAGGAAGAGTAAAAATAATATTTTATTTAACCCCAATAGAACCATTTAACTTCTCTAGTATCTGGTTACTCAATGCTTGACAGTCCTTTTCCCAACATAGCAATTCCACCAAAATTCATTCCCAACATACGACTCTCCTGAACATATCAGAGCCTATCCAATAAAGGGTGCATAAGGTAGTACAATGAGTTCTAGACAAGTAATCAGGAGTATTAGGTTACAGTTCCATCTCTGTCTTTGTCTTCCCATATGACTGAGGCATGGAATACCCCTCAGTCTCAGTTACCTCCTTATAACACAAGAACTTAAAAATAGTCCTTCAGGCCTTCATTTTCTCTCTCCTCAGCCCCCTGTTTGCTTTCTACTGCCACAAGGAACTTGGCCACTGTTAACAGTGGAATATTGTGGAAAATCCTAGTATATTAAGACTTGGAGTCTCCTTTTAGCATTTTTGGGATTGGGTCTCATGTTGAAAAAGATAAGAAATTTTCCAAGAAATCAAAGCACCTGAAGTAGAAAGATTATTTCTTCAGAATCATGTTGAGAAAATGCTGAATGATAGGACACCATGTCTCTTGAATAAGCATGTACTGTTTCTTGGGGCTGATATTGTGGCACAGTATTAAGCCACTACCACTGACACTGGCATTCCATGTCAAAGTACTGGTTCAAGTCCTGACTGCTCTGCTTCCAATCTTGCTTCCTGCTAATATACACTCTGGGAAAGCAGCAGATGATGGCTCAAGCACTTGTGCCCTTGCCACCCACATTGGAGACCTGGATGGAGTTCCATGCTCCTGGCTTTAGCCTGGCCCAGTCCCAGCTGTTGTGGCCATTTGGAGAGTGAACCAGCAGATATGTTTGTCTCTGCCTCTCCCTGTCTATCTGCAACTCTGGCCTTCAAATAAATAAATAAATCTTAAAAAATGTAATATTTCTTCACAAAGAAATAGTTGAGGGCAAAGCCAGATCCTTTATATACAGACCACAACATAACTAAATAATCCAAGACTTACTTCCTGACATAGAGGTCCTTAAGGAATAAACAAATGCATTGATGAACGAATTAGTGATTTAGAGTTGCCCATATGTAGGGTTGTTTTACGAACTCTGGACAAGTAGAGGTAAACTCAAAACATGGGGTTAAGTAACCAGCCAACAAAGTGACACTTACTATCCTTGAACTATGTGTCTTCTTTGACTCTGAGACACAGACTTCTTGACTGACACCTAACTCTGATCAAACACCTTATTATTTTTCAGTCATACAGGTGGATTAATATTCACAGGGAATGTAATGATACTAAACTTTTTTTATTAAAGGAAAATATATACAAGAAACCAATATGCAAAACATGTTGGGGAGCTATTCTGGTTAATGGGAAGATTAAGAACAGAGTTCTTCTGAGTTCATCCTACCTCCAAAAAAGCAGCTACTGAATGCTATACTAGGCTGGGTCTTCATTAATCTGATATAAGCACATGAAAAAAACTATGATTCTAGAGAAGGTAGACGTCTGATATGATTAAATATCTACACTAGAGATAGACATATGAAATATATGTCATCATATGAAAATAGTATATATGTTTATTATATAGTATCTGTATATTAAGGTAATTTGGAAAAATTGTTAAAAGGTTAAGAACTGTTAAATCATAAAATTAAAAATTAGTTAATTAAAAATAATATTATGTGAAACTGCTAATATTTGACATTTTTATTTCACATAAACAATAAATTTTCATTGTCTACCTAATGCTCAAATATATGTTGTGACATTCATGGTTCATAATCTGTGCAAGAGCTGACAGATCTTTTAGAGTAATGGACAGGAACACAAAAGTTCAGAAAGCCATAGCATATGAGTACTAAGCTATGGTGCATGAAAAGATCCATGTTACAGGTAGATGACATGCTCAAGTAGCCACATTGCTTTAAAAGACCCTAATGACATATGATCACATGACAAGGGTTAGTGCTCAAATATTCATGATGCATGAATTGAAAACTTCTCGATAGCAACAGAGAGATGTGGTACAAACGAACTCCAGATTATAGAAATAATCTATGGGATATAAGACCTAACCAAAGTAAATGATTAGAAAACATAAGCTTATGGGTAACAATCCTGAATATAGGAAGAAGACATGCTATAGAAATAAAGAGATAGATAGTGCAAATCTAATGATGTTATTCTAGCACATATCTTTGGGTTATGTTCAGATTACAGGGAAAAAAAAGAAAAACATCACACTAAAATAGATGGCGATGACCCAGAAGTAAATTTCCATTATTTGGAAGGAGACCACTATGACATATAGTGTGATGCCGAATAAGTCATCAGTGTTACATGAAACCATAACTAATGCACATGTCCAAATATCCATTATACATAAGAATATAGCCATCATATATGACATAGAAGACACTGGTCATAACAGGTACCTTCTAAAAATCAAAACATTTTGTTAATTAACAATTATTATGATACATGAGTAGGCATGTATGGCATGAAACCATTTGACCACGGTATATGTCCAAAAGAGTCATAGCACATGAGTCTAAAAGAGAAAATGGTCTTTGTACACAATCCATTAAGACATGATCTATGATTAAAAGCTGTTGTTGGCTTGTTGCACAACAACATTAATACAATTAACATTACTGAACTTCATACTTAAAATGGTTAACATGGTATATTTTATGTTATGTGGGGTTTTGCCACAATTAGAAAATTTATATTTAAGAAATGTGGCTAGAACAGGTAATCTTAGTTAGTTAGCAACTAGGCACAGAATAAGACCAAAACATGATACAGGAGCAGAAAACATGGCACATTCACAGATATTAGCAATGATTGTACATCCATGGTATAACCAGTCAAAATATCAAGGACATTCTCAGTTCTAGAAAAAAAAACAGCGCTAAAATTCATATGGAGACACAAGAGACCCCAAATAGCAAAATCAATCTTAAACACCAACAACAAAGCCGGAGACATCACAATACCAGATTTCAAGACATATTATATGGCAGTTATAATCAAAAAAGCCTGGTACTGGTACAAAAATAGGCATGCAGATCAATGGAACATAATATAAACCTCAAAAATTAATCCACACATCTACAACCAACTAATCATCGACAAACAAGCTAAAATCAATTCCTTGAGCAAGGACAGTTCTTCAACAAATGGTTCTGGGGAAACTGATATCCTCATGCATAGGTATGAAACTAGACCCCTACCTTACACCTTACACAAAAATCCACTCAAAATGGATGAAAGATCTAAATCTATGACCTGATACCATCAAATTATTGGAGGAAAACATCAGAGAAATTTGGCAAGACATTGGCATAGGCAAAGACTTCTTGGAAAAGATCCTAGAAGAACAGGCATTAAAAGCAAAAACAGACAAATGAGATTACATCAAGCTAAGAAGCTTCTACACAGAAAAGCAAACACTAAACAAAGTGAAGAGGCAATTGACACATGGGAGAAAATATTTTCAAACTAGGAATCTGATAAAGAAATAATATCCAGATATATAAGGAGCTCAAGAAACTCAACAACAACAAAACAAAGAATCCAGTTAAGAAATGGAAAAAGGACATGAACAGGCATTTTTTTCAAAGAATGAAACTCAAGTGGCCAAAACACACATGAAAAGGTGCTCAGTATCACTAGCCATCGGGAAATGCAAATCAAAACCACAATGAGGTTTCACCTTACCCCAGTTAGAATGGCTATCATCCAAAAATCAAGAAACAAAACATGCTGGCAAGGATGTGGGGAAAAAGGTATCCTAATACACTGTTGGTAGGAATGTAAACAAGTACAACCACTATGGAAGAATATATGGAGAGGTCTCAGAAATCTGAAAATAAATCTCCCATATGACCCAGGAATCTCACTCCTGAGAATTTACCAAAATGAAATGAAATCAGCATACAAAAGAGTTATCTGTACCTCCATGTTTATTTCAGCTCAATTCAAAATAGCTAAGAAATGGAATCAACCCACATGTCCATCAGCTGATGACTGGAAAAAGAAAATGTGGTATAAACAACATGGACTACCATAAAAAGAATGAAATCCTGTCTTTGCAACAAAATGGATGCAGATGGAGATCATTATGTTTAGTGAAATAAATATTATATGTTTTCTCTTATATGTGGCAATTCATATAGAATACAAAAAAGTATAGGAATGAAATGGACATCATATGATATGATTGTTGTTTTCAGCCTTGTTTATACTCCTGTGGAGCTGTTGTCTTTCTATTTTTTACTTGTTGAATATTGTGGTTAGTGGTGGATTAAGCCTGTGATTAAAGAGTTAATTGAAAGCATGTTTTTGCAAAAAATTAAAGAAAAAAAAAGAAATGAAGAAAGGAGGTTGTTCGAGGGAGGTATAGGAGGAGGAAGGGAATTAGCTTATCTTCTTAGAATTGTACCAATGAAATACATGAAAACTGTTATCTTTATATTAAGAGAAATGTTTAAAGTACTACAAAATTGGAAACAACGATAAAAAATGTGGACAAGGACTTTAAAAGAATAGACACTTGGGGCTGGTACTGTGGCATGGTAGGTTAAGCCTCCACCTGCAGTGCTGGCATCCCATATGGGCACAGGTTCGAGTCCCAGCTGCTCTACTTCTGATCTAGCTCCCCGCTAATGGTCTGGGAAATCAGTGGGAGATGGTCCAAATGCTTGGACCCCTACATTGAAGTGGAAGATTGAAAGAAGCTCCTGGCTTCTGGCTTTGGATCAGCTCAGCTCCAGCTGTTACAGCCATTTGGAGAGTGAAGCAACGGATAAAAGACCTCTCTCTGTCTCTCCCTCTCTTTTTAACTCTGCCTCTCAAATAAATAAATAAATAATAATAATAATAAAGGACACTCAAAATACTTATTTTTGAAAGAAATTATTTGT